GAAGGTAATGACAGGGTGGATGACTCACCTTCACTGTAGCAGTCGTACGGTGTGGGTGGCTTGTCATCTGTTGGAATCTCGTTGCTCTGCGTTGAGTTGTTTGTTGTTGGCTGTTTTAGGTCATCACAGCCGGGCAGTGGCGGTAGTAGGTAGTCGGCGCAATTCATGGAATGATCGGTGAGGTTGGAATGTCGTAGTGCGCGAGTAGACGCATGATGCAATGAAGCGTTGAGCATGAGATCGATGCTGAGGAATAGGTTATCGTACGAGGTGATGTGGTAGCTTCCCACTGCCCAGAAGCGATGATCGTGATCGGAGCGACCCATTGAGAGAGCGGAAGGAACGACCGGCACCGAATTTCACTTGTCAAGTGAGAACAAGACGCAGCGCTGCAATGACATTTTCAGACTTTTTGGTCGATTTTTTGCAAAGACTCGCGGCATGATACAAGACTTGCTTATTGCTTTACAATCGTTACCATCGTTCCAGACCGAGACACGATGCAACATGAAAACGTGATAGTAACACAAAACCTGGCCCATGCACCAAAAGAGCGAGGTAATGACGAAATGAGAAAAAGTAGGGAGAGAGACCGTTACGCCGTCGCTGAATGTTCATATCGGAAACATGGGACTCGTCAATCGAGCGAGTGAGTAGATACCACTCCATCATCTGAGTGGTCACAAGATCACTCGTCCTTGGTGATCGCTCTTGGGGTCGACAGTGGACGGCCGGCGATAATGGCCTCACGGTCTTGTCGCATGCCCTCCAGTACCCCAACGAGGCCGCCTTCCCGCATACGCTCCAGAACGACCTTCATGCCTTCACGCGCATTCGGCTGACTTCGCTGCGCACGGGATAGACCAATCTTCTCGATGTTTCGCTGAAGAGCCGCGGTGCCCCAACTCCGCAGGAAGCCCATCTTTTGTGGCTGTTCCTCATCCGCAACGTCCTCCCTTGCAGCCGCGCGCTTCTTCTTCCATGTCTCCCCGATGTGACTGTGTAGTGTGACAGAGCTTACGACGTCGGTAGTCTCACCCGAATCCTCGACCCTGGCACCTGCACCCTTGGCGCCAAAGTTGATGAAGCCCTGGCGCTGCGTGGCACCGTCCATGGCTTGCCGCATCTTCACGTCTTCGGGCACCAACGGCGAAGGACGTATGAACTTCTGCCTCTCTACGACAGACAGCACACCCGTCCATTCCAGATTCCGTGACTCCGTGTCCATCCATCCTTCTTTGATGTCTACGACCGACTTCTCGAGAATATAAGTCTGCGATTCTCCGCTGGCTGAAGTGCCAAGTAGGGACCGCGGTACGAGCTTGAGGACGGCGGAAGGGACTTTGGAGCGCTTTAGGTGGAGGCGGATAGTCGTCAGGCGCTGAGTCTCCGGGTCGTAGTTGCGGGCGATGGTGTCGGTGGAGATCACATGAGTGGAGTAAGGGTTCGGGTATCGGAGGAAGTAGGCGAGCGAGACGGCGGGGAACGGGTACGAGTACGTCTCGTTGGAGGAGTAGAACTTGACCATGGTGACGTCGTCGTGGTCAAATCGGGGTGTCTGTAGGCGTGGGTGGGCGGTAAAGGGCGGGAGATATAAAATGGTATAGGTAGGAGCTCAAGGCAGCCTGGAACGCGCGGTCGTCTATCTCCGGTGATGAAGTCGCATGGTCAAGCGCATCCAACTGTGACAATTGGACAGGCTGTTTAGTCGCGCTGGAGAGGGGTAGGGCGTTATGTCGGGCTGGGTGGTGTGAGGACCAAGGATGGAAACGTCTGGAGCTCTCGCCATCCTGGCGCCATGACGAGATTTGCTGACCTGCATCGGCTTTCCCTCCCGTAACGCCGCTGTGGCTGGTGCGTGGCGCACGGTGTGGCGCAGTGCGGGGCAGGTCTAGCCACAGGAACGCCAAATTGAGGTGGGGTCAGACATCGCCGAATATCCAGTGACTCAGCTCCAACACCAAGGAATCGCGCCACGTAATCCCCTAGGCTGGAGTCACTCCTTCATTCAAAGCCCGACACACAAGCCATCCTCCAACACAGTCAGCACCATGACCGAGCCCGAGCCACCCGCCGTCGCCGCCCTCTCACTCTCCGACACAGCGACACAATCCGTCTCGAAAGCGACAGAGCAAGAGATCAACCCCTGGGATGTACAGGCCGGCGTAGACGAAGATGGAAACGTCAAGCAATTTGACTATGCCGCAATCTCGCAGAAATGGGCCACAAAACTCATAGATCAACCGCTACTGGAGCGATTCGAGCGCGTCACAGGCCACAAGCCGCACCGCTGGTTACGGCGTGGCCTTTTCTTCTCCCACCGCGATCTTGAGCTTATTCTGGACACATACGAGCGCGGCGACGACTTCCTACTCTACACCGGCCGCGGACCTAGCAGTGATGCCATGCACATTGGTCACACTATACCTTTCGAGTTCACAAAGTGGTTGCAGGATGTTTTCGACGTTCCGCTGGTCATCATGTTGACGGATGACGAAAAGTTCCTGTTCAAGGAGAAGCTTAAGCAGGAGGAAGTCTACGAATTCTCCCGGCAGAACGCCAAGGATGTCATCTCCGTCGGCTTCGATATCAAGAAGACCTTCATGTACATCGACTCTGAGTTCTTCACATCCGGCTTCAACCGACATTTCAGTCTCAACACCACTGAGTTCGAGAAGCTAGTTACCAACAATCAAGTGCGCGGCGCGTTTGGTTTCGATGGCTCAACAAATATCGGCAGCAATGCATTCGCAGCTAAGCAGTGTGTTGCCGCTTTTGCCTCATCGTACCCCTTTATCTGGGGTGATGATCACACGACCTACAAGCGCTCGAAGAAGCTTGCTTCCATACCCTGTCTGATTCCCTGCGCTATTGATCAAGATCCGTACTTCCGTCTGGTTCGTGAGAACTGCCACCGAATGGATCTCCCCTCGCCCAAACCAGCCCTCATACATTCCAAGTTCCTCACTGCGTTGCAAGGCGCTGGTGGCAAGATGAGCGCGTCCGATGCCAACTCTGCCATCTTTATGAGCGATACACCAAAGCAAATCAAGACGAAGATCAACACCAAGGCTTTCTCTGGTGGCCAAGAAACACTAGAGCTCCATCGTGAGAAGGGTGGAAACCCCGATATCGACGTACCGTACCAGTACATCGGATACTTCGAAGACGATGACGAGAAGCTCAAGAAGCTAGCTGAGGACTACCGCAAAGGCGAGCTATTGACTGGCGAGATGAAGAAGGAATGCGTAGACACCATGACTGTGTACGTTAAGAAATTCCAAGAAGCGAGAGCAAAGGTCACCGACGAGATTCTCGACGAGTTCCTCCGCCCGCGGAAGCTAGAGTGGAAGGGTAATCCGAACCCTACCAAGCCCAAACTCGAGCAACCGGCACAAGATACCGAGAGCGGGGGTCCTTCATTGGACGCCGACGGAAAGCCGATGACCAAGAATGCCATGAAGAAAGCGGCTAAGATGGCTGAGGTCGAGCGCAAGAAGAAAGAGAAAGAAGCCGCTGCTGCCGCGAAGCAGTGAATATGCCAAAACTTGAATGTTCGATGAAGAGATAGATGCACGATACCAATATGACCGAGTCGAGTTCACCTGCAGCCTATTCTTAGCCTTCCACGGGTGTATTGATTGCAATGTTCCAGCGCAGGGTACTTCCCGGACCGTTTACTGATGTAACATCACGTATTGTTTCGAGAGCTATGCTAACGAGATCTAGATATTGCTAACCTTAGAAGTATCACCGAGTGCATTAGCCAGATCATGACGTGAAACGCCCCAGATGTCTTCAGTGCTCCCGTTCGGCGCCTGTTAGTCTATAGGTTGAGCGGCATGAGAGCGGATCATAATGTGGACCGTACCACTCTCCATACTTTACCCCAGTGGTACACCGGTCGCGTGCTCCCGTCCGGCCCGCGACGGCCGACCACAAAGCTTGTATCTGCTTCACAGTTGACCGGCGTAGGAGTCACTTCAACCACCGATAACCTGTTCTGCCTAGAGCCGCCAAGTTGTCTTCGAGTCACGATGCCTTCAAGTTTTGATCGGCCTCCACCTCCAGCTGGCTAACGCTTTAGTTCGAGGACTTGTCTTCCGCTCGCTCGCTTTTATGTGCTACCCTCCGCCGCTGCCTACCACAAGTGTCTCCTTAGTGCACTCAATCTCGGGTTCTGCTGAGTATGGCTCGCTCATTTGAGGTCATGGGCATGTCATCCCGTCCGGTCCTAATCAACCTGCGTCACATTCCCTCGTGACCCCGCGGTCTTCTTGACTCCGCATCCCCGCGCGTGCTCTATATGTCAGGTGTGACAGTCATCACCTCCATCCGAACTGGCGTACGCTTCCTTCTCTCATCCCGACTTCATACAAGTATCGCTGTCGCTCGAACTTCTATACAAGACGATCCAGACCATACCATCATGGTATCGGCCATGGAGCGGAAACGACATGGTGTCGTTGACTTTGATCAGCAGCTTATGGAGCAAGGCCAATCAGACACACTAAGTTTCGACAGCTCGGACGACACTCTCACCTCCCTACCGGCGATATCGAAGCTCGAATCGACGGATGCGATACTAGAGAGAACAACTACAATTGTCGAAAGCAATAACGAAGCGGAACGGTCAATGTCGCTTCGCGAAGGCATACGCCTATACCCCAAAGCAATAACATGGTCTGTGTTACTGTCGATGACACTCATTATGGAAGGATTCTCTACCATTCTTGTACCCAATCTGTTCGCAATGCAACCGTTCCGGAAACAATTCGGTACATTACAATCAAATGGCCTGTACGAAATTAGCGCCGACTGGCAGAGCGCACTTGTGAACGGCGGCCTGGCAGGGCAGATCGTAGGGCTTTTTGCTACAGGAATACTAGCCGAGCGAATCGGGTACCGATATACACTCATGGTCGGGCTGGTGGCAATGAGTGTGTTCATACTCGTACCTTTCTTTGCCACGGGTAAGACGGTTCTGTTGATAGGACAGTGTCTACTAGGTATGCCTTGGGGCATGTTTCAGTGCATATGCACGGTGTATGCTGCGGATGTCTGTCCAGTGGCCTTGCGGGCGTATCTGACTACGTATGTATCATTCTGTCTCTTTCTTCCAGCTTTCGCACTCAGTTCAGTCAAATGGGGCTAACAACGTCAAGTTATGTCAACGCATGTTGGGTTCTCGGCCAACTAATAGCATCCATTGTCATGCGCGGCATGATTAACAACACCACCACATGGTCCTACCGCATCCCCTTCGCACTTCAGTGGATCTTCCCAGTCCCAATCCTCTTCGCCGTATACTTCGCGCCTGAATCGCCTTGGTGGCTCATACGACAGGATCGCTTTGTGGATGCGATGAAGACGATGCGTCGGCTACGCACACAACCAGCAAGCATGTCGGACGATGAATTCGACAAAACGCTGAACGGCGCGATGGAGGCCATGATCCAAACGAACGAGAGAGAACAACAGATGCAGAGTGGCACAAGTTACAAGGACTGCTTCAAGGGAGTGGATCGGCGCAGGACTGAGATCACGTGCATGGTTTGGATTATCCAGACGCTGTGTGGCAGCACCTTCATGGGCTTCTCTACCTACTTCTGTAAGTCGGCCAATGTCGCGCAAATCAATGAACTCGGTGTAGACTAACTCTATCCAGACGAACAAGCAGGCCTCGGTTCTTCCCACGCCTTCACCCTCTCACTAGGCCAATTCGCACTCGGTCTGGTCGGCGTCTTCATCTCTTGGGCCCTCATGGCACACTTTGGGAGGCGCACACTTTACCTCTCCGGACAAGTCATGACTTTCGCCTTCGTGCTGCTCATCGGGATACTAGCTTGCATACCACACCGCCACCACTTCGTCACCGTCCGCTCAGCGGTAGTAGGCACACCCTCTCAAGTCGGGAATCCGCATCCGACGGCACTCAACTGGTCTATTGCAGCACTACTTCTGGCTTTCACTCTAGCCTACGACGCAACACTCGGGCCGATTTGCTATGCCCTCGTTTCGGAAATTCCTTCCACACGCTTGAGGAGCAAAACGATCGTGCTAGCCCGGAACTGCTATAACATATCCGGCATCGTCACAAACATCATCACACCACGCATGCTTAACCCTACAGCCTGGGGCTGGGGAGCTAAAGCAGGTTTCTTCTGGGCAGGCACGAGTGTGATTGGCATTTTGTGGAGTTGGTGGCGACTCCCCGAACCAAAGGGAAGGACTTTTGGAGAGCTGGATGAGCTGTTTGAGAGGAAGGTGGTCGCAAGGAAGTTCAAGACTACGGACTTTACGGTTGGTGGGGTACTTATCGCGAGGACGGAGAAGAGTAGGGTGTAGGAGCATGGGGCATAAAGAGGAAGGGAGTCCAAGACGCTAGGTGGGGCATGTACCGCGACTACGAATATTTGTTTTCGGTGCTTAATTGTTAAAGCGCAGATGGTAGTGACCAGAGGCATGTCGCTGGATGCGGGGTCAGGTAGATTGCTTTCTTTTCTAATGTCTCACAACATTTTCTTAACTCACCTTATCCAAGAAAAGAACTAAACAGGTCTGCAGACTACATTCAGATGAAAATAGACAACGTGGACAACCTCATCTGAATGTAGGCTTTAGGGTGTCCAGTTATTCGCTAAGTCAACGTGAGCTCAACGAACTCACGAGCCTTCGTCAATATGGGTATCACAACCCCCTTCAACACCCTACCTGCGCCACCGAAACCACCCCCAAAAGCCCTTCCTCTTCCTCTTCACCTTCCCTCCTCTACTCTCAACACAAGCCGCCCTCCTCAGCTCCTCTTCTCTCCTATGCCGCTCTACCATCTCCACGCTAGCTGGCGGCGCCGCTAGCCGTCGCTGCTCGTCGCTTATAGCCCTATTGACACTTATGCATCTCCTCGAGATGGTTGTAGCAATATCCAATAAGCCATGCTCTTCAGCTAGATGCCGCACATCCTGTGCTAAATCCATGATGCTGAAGTAATCCGAGCCGGGGTCGACTTGTCCGGTGCGGGTGACGGACTGAAGATCAGCGGTGAAGTCGTGGGCGAGAATGGCTTCGGCTTGGAGGGTGATGAATTCCCGCATCGAGAGTCGAGCGGATGGTATAGAGAAGGATGGCGCTAGCGGTGTGACGTCGCTTGAAGGAGCGATCGCAGGCTCATTCGGTGGGAGCACCTGCCCATCGACCATTCCATCTTGCCGTGGATATTCTGCCACCGTGCCCCAAACTCTCATTTGATGCCTCCTTCTCTCAAACAACTCCCTCTCGCTCTTCCTCGCATTTCTCTCCTCACAGTCCCTTCCAACCATGTCCGCAAACCCAGCAAGCGAATTCGATATCTTGTCCACAGCGTCGCGTCCCTGTGGATACCTATCCCGCATTTTCTGCAGCACTGCTAATGCCTCTTCAACGAGACCAGGCATCTCCTTCAGTTCTTGTGATATTTCTTCGGGATGCGTAGGGAAGAAGTCTTGACGGCATAGCGGGCAGGTGCTTGCGTTGTCGAACCAGGTTTCGATGCAGGATGCGCCGAAGATGTGGTCGCATGATGGCATTTTTAGTGCATGGTGGCTTTTTGTAGCAGTTGTGTCGGCACACGGCTCGGTGCAGATTGGGCAGATATGGGGTGAGGCGTCTTTGGGGGAGGTAGTTATGTGAGGAGAGGTGTAAAGGGCTGTATTGCTGAAGGTTTCGCGGGTGTTGTAGAGTGGTGCCATTTTGGAATGTCGATTTGAGTGTCGTTGGTGAAGATGTTTGGGAGTGTCTCTGGAGATGGTTTTGGAAGTGTGAGTTGATGCAGATTTAGAATGCTCAAGATGCGCTTATATTCCAACATAATGTCTTTGAATTCATACCATGGTTCTTTGCATACAGGCTTTGCATCTGACTCATGGTTGGCGATATCCAGGTTTGGCACTGACGAACCAAAGTTGAGGGAGTTCAAATCACAACTTCAGGATCGGCACACAACGCAAAACGCAAACCAGGTTTACAGCCTACATGAATACAAAAGCATGCAAAGTAGGTAACCTAACGTTGATGTAGGCTCTAGGCCTGTTTTAAGAGATCACAGTACTTTTAATGATAGGTATGATGAGATCCAGATGTACCGCGACACGAATGATCAACACACTGTTCTAGATACCAAATAACGTTGCATTGTTTCTGAGAGTAAAAAGAATCGCGAGAGCACTCGCCACGATATTATAGAAACACCAGCTGAATCATACGGCGGAGATATTGAACGCCGCTGAGACGTTGATGTACGCGCCTTCGAATGCCATGGCATCGTCACCCTCAAGCATTTCTCGGGAGTCTCTGTCAAAGTCGGCGTCATCATCCGCGTCGGTATCCTGCCGCGACACTCCAGTCAGTTCCGGCGCCCACCTAGCCTTCACACTGAGAGTGTGAGGGTAGTCCGCCCGCATTTCGACCATGACACGCAGGGTGATCTCGTAAAAGTCGTCACCTTTTGGGCCAACCCGAAAGTCTTCGCCGACACTCTGCTTGAGTGCACTCATATCGTAATGGATTGTCCCCAGCTCTTTTGCGTCCTTGTTTTCTCTGTCATCGAAGCGATACCATGATTTCTTTGGTCCTTGAGGCGTGTACCAAATTCGTTCCTCAGCTATCCACCGCTTTGAGAGATGGAATGAATGAGTGGATGTGAAGAAGTATTGGCGGCCCGGTGGAAACACATCTCCTTTCTGCGCGAAGTATTCGAGACAGTTGAATATGTAGAGTTTTCCATCGTTACCCGATTTGCCATGGGCTTTACGTAAATGCCGAAGCTGGGGAAATTCTTTGAAGAAACGGGTGCTTCGACAGTTCCATTCTTTGGGAACGTGTCGTTCGATGGCGAAGCTGGCGCGCAGGAATCGATTTGGGGGGAACATCTTTACTTTGAGGGCTTTGAGCCCTGCACCACCTGTGACTGCGTAGGTTCTTGTAAAATTCAGTCTACTTGCTTCTGAAGTGTACTCAAGGATGGTTTGCTTACGAGTATTCTTTTTCGTCGGTATGCTCTGGGACATGTTCCCAGGTGGCCATATATCGCTTTCCTTTGGCTCGAAACGACTTGCTGTCGGAAAATTGTCCGACCCAGACGACAGAATCGATGCGCTCTCCCTTGGCTACAACGAGGGAATGTTGTTCGTCAATGATCTTGATCAGACCGTCATGAGCAGGTTTGTACACTCGAATCCATTCATCTCTTTGCTATATCAGTACTTTGGCGGGTCTAGCAAAGACCATATACATACGATGTGAGTTTGAGGGTATGAGGAAAAAGCCCTCTTTCCGGATCCGATTTGAGACCCTGGATGTTGAATCCGGTTGGCGGCTTAGTCGTTGGATCACTAGATGAGCGTTTGATGTCAGACTCGTACTTTTGCACCACTCCCGCAACAATACCAGGCACTGTTATGTCCGCATATTGTTCACCAAGATATGATTCCGATGCCAGCTTCTTTGTGACAATGTCTCGGAGAACCCGGTTTAGCGAATCGCCTCCATGAGAGTCACCTAGATCGGCTTAGTGATCATGGGGCTAGGACTGAGATGAGTGCTAAGCTTACTGCTCATCGGACAAATTTGTTCCCAGCGTACTGGATCATTGCGTGTCTTCTTGAGTGTGATCATCTCGATAGTACCACCTCCAGCATCGATGACGGAAACACAGGATCCAATCTACAGCGAGATTAGCTTAGTGCGGTGATAAGAAGGTGTTTTGACGTACTCCGACCTCAGTGCCCTTTAAGGAAAGACAATAAGAAGCGGCTGCCTCAGGCTCTGATACTGTTGTGATGCTGGGTGGTACTTGTAGGTTCCACACCTCCACTATCGCTTTGACAATCGCCGCATAATATCGATGACAGGATGTTACGCCCCAGTCACTAGGGACGGAGATAACAAATTCGGGGCGCGCAATCCCCATATCGAAGGATTCCTCCTTTGCGAACCTGAACCACTCTGTGAAGTAGTCACTCATGACATCATCTCGTTCGCGGATGTACCCATCTCTTATAAGGTCATCGAGTTGTTTTTCGAGGTCGTTGCGAACCTCTAAAGTCGCGTCGGTGTCGTCCAGCATCAGTTTGGAGAGACGCACAAGGCGATCACTATTTTGATGGATCTCCCCATGAAACGTGCTCAGTAGTCGGGACACGCTCCAGCCCCAGGACCGGTCGTCGTCCTGACCATAGTATATATGCGTCGGTACAAAATCGTTGTGCTTGTCGTTGGGACAAATGTCTTCGTCATATCCGTGGAGATAATCGATATGGTCTTTGCTGATCGAATTGACGTCTTGCCTGGCAGGGACATGGATGCGGCCCATCTTTCCGTATGTGGTTCCCCAATCAATGATCAGGAAGAGACGATCGAGATCGGAGATATCCGAAGTGTTGGGGGCCATTATCTCGCCAATTTCCGAGAAAACGACAGGTAGAAACAGGAACAAAAGGAGCGAAGCCGGCACGCAGCTACGCTTATCGTTCGCTAATATTGCCACGGCTACGTACAGCGCCTAGGCGCATGGTCTGTCTCACGTGTACGTCAGATAGGAGCGGCCAATATGCGCGGAGCTCTGGCTGTATTTCGATGTGGCATGGGAGCAAACACTCTAAGACACGCGTGTCTTTAGTCAACAAACCTACGAGGGGCAGCAAAACACACCTCTCTTCTCCATGTGCTTCTAATATAACACAATTCGTTCTGACATCCCCAACCGTCAACTAGCTTCTGGACGCTCGACTCGGCGTGCATTCCTTTTTACCAGCAGAATTTCGATGGCGCGCCACCGCTGGACCGTTCAGGATGATGCCTTACTATTTGCATGTGCGCAATACTGCTTCCAGCACGATCTCAGCCTCATAGCGAATACGACCACGATGTTCAAGCGTGCGGGCAAAGACCGTACCAGAGAGGCCATCAGATGGCGTGTGCAGCAGTATGGTCCCGTCAAACAGTTTGAAGAGCACGGCATCTCATTCCAGGATCTCTCCCCAGCCTTCGAGAGAGAGATTGCAGCACAGACGCGCCGGATTCTCTTAGGGCCTGGTCCTGCAGCAGCCAGCGAGACCGGTGCTGCGATAGTTCGACCGAAGATGCTCGAGGCGAGTCTGATAAAAGCGGCAAATGTAAGCTTTAACATGCAAGTGAGCAGTGGTAGTCTCGAATCAATACTAACAGTATCGAAGTCGGCGCGTACAACCAGAGCGAAGAAGCGCGCTGCCTCACACGATATCGAGACCCGCGCACGGAAAAGGCATCCAAAGACACCCGCGGGCCGCGAACGAGGTACAAAGACTAGCCCATGGAAGATAGTGGAGGAAGAGGAGCGGGTAGGAGGAACTACAAGTGAAGAGGTACATGCCGACGACAGGTCGATGGTTCAGGACGCTCTGGTGACGAGGAGTTCCGCAAGGTCCGCGGGTGGCTCACCAAGTAACGCCAAGATACCAGAAAGCATGCCCGTCGATGCAGTTGTTGGTCGAGGAGCGATAACACCGTCATGTGTATGAAAGCCATCGTGCTGTCGGAAGAGGTTTAGGCTGACTGAAGTCCAGGCGAGCCCAACGAATGCCGGCGCTAGTCGCACTATTTCCCCAGCCGAGTCCCCCAACGCTGCCGACGCTCCGCGTAGCCCCGGACGCGTCGCAGCCGCAAAAACGGCCTCAGATTCCATCAACCCAACCCACACACCGATCATCGTATATCTTGAGAAGAAGCTCGAGAATGCTCGCCTTCAGCTACAGCTAGGGCAGGCTGTTAACAATACTCTACGCAAAGAAAACGAAGAACTGCGCCGCCGCATCGGGAAGCTCACGACTCCCAGCAATGCTGCACTGCGCCAAGCGGCCAGTGATCTCGAACTGGAGCGGGCAACACTCGTTTCCGAGAAGCTGACGATCAACTCGCGTCATCAAGATGCTATACGATGTTTAGAGGAACTTCTTGAAGCCAAGGCAAAGCATATCGGACACCTACAAACCCTCCTCAGCACCCTAAGAGGCCCTCAGCTGGTCTCCAGATCTCAAGGCTACCCGATCGAATACGATGCTGGCTCTCTGAACGCTGACTGGCGTCAGAATGTCGCTCGGTTGGCATCTGACTGCCGACCATACGACATGGCAAGATCCCTTCGCGCTGAAGAGCAGGTACCCGTCAAGCTTGAGGCTGCCATGCGTGCTGTTACTGGACTCTCCGTAGCACAAACCGGGAACCTGACGCTCGCTGAGTGCTTCACTAAAACCACGGCCATGCCTACTGATGTCAATATCCGGGTCGCCTGTTTCATGAGTCATGTTCTACGATGGTGTTTCAACACAGCGTTCCATACCAGGGGGCTGAAGTCGGAGAAGTTGCACGAAATGTGGCAGTCAATTGCGTTACTCAGTCAGTAACACCCCCACAACTAATGCTTTCATCAACTAACGACTACAGATGGACTCAAATGTGTACGACAACTAGACACCATGGCTACCCTAGACAAGATCAGCAACAAGTACTTCCGCGAGCACCAATTGCCCGAGAAGGCCAAAAATCAGATGGGTATCTTTATCAGAGAATGCCGCAGCTTCATCCCTTGGCTCGATAGCGCGAAATTGCGTCCGAAGCTCGATGAGTGGCTGCAGTCCACCATGGAGATGAAGTTGGAACTTCTTGTGTCAAGCCAACACCACAAACTCGCCTTCCCGCCACCTGGCGCGCCTTACGACAAAAGCACCATGGAAGGTCAAACGGAAGACGGAAACCGACAGGGCCCCAAGGACAATCCAGCCGACTATCGAGTCAAAATCTGCGTCTGTCCCGCGCTTTATACGTGCATCCCGGAACCAGATCTACTAGACATTGCCGACCCTTCCTTCAAGGCGGAGAAGTACAAAGATGCTTTGCTCGAAGATAGGGACTTCTTCTCCGAAGAGCCAGGCAAGTATCATGGTTGGGAAGGAGCTGTCTTAGTATCGCGGGCTATTGTCTTCGTCGAGAAGTACCCTCAACAGTCTCAGGTCGTACCAGAGCAGAGTCAACCAAGGCAGACCCTCCGGCTCCGACTAACCCCAAGCGTGGCTGAAGATACCCAGGACGTGGCTGAAGGTGGCGAGGATGGCATGAGCAGTCAAGACGACGTCAAACTGTGAGATAGCAAAGCGCACCATACTCCTGAGGAGAGACCGGAGTCGATGCCTAAGCAGAGCCCACAACGCGGTCTAGTTTTTTTTTTGTCCGAGTCTGTTGGTTTTTGCTGATAAGAGCATGCTTCTACCCCGTGATACTTCAGTTATAATAGCCCTAACTGTACGCGGTCTAGTCAACGCAGTTTTGCAACACAGTAAAGGGGCTATACCCAAAGCGCAACATTCATAGCAACTAATCCCATACCTTTCCAACCACAACCATACCTTTCCAACCACACCCACGTCTTTCCAACCACTCCCACCGCTACAAAACATACAAATCTCAAAGCACAAAAACAAAATCCCTGCACGCACACTACTCCAATCCAACCACAAAATCCATCACACCAACATCTACCCAACAACCCTCCCAAACCCAAACCCCCTAACCCCATTACTAACCCACACCCCCTCCCCCACACTCACAGTCTCAATCCCCACCGGCTCCTCCATACAAAACCCACTTCCCAGCGCCCACCTCCTACTCGTCCCCCTCTGCCCCCCAGCCCCTACTTTCGCACTCCTCGTACTATGCCCCCACCTCCCCGCAAACGGCTTCCGTAGCTCCCCCTCATCCGCCCCATCATCCTTCAGCGTCTTGGCCGAAAACTCTCCTGAGGGTACGCCTACAGGCGGCGTAACCCACCTCCCCCCTCGGAACAAGTACAGCGAGGTCAGTGTGCCTTCGGTTAGCTCATTGACTTCGTTGTAGAGCATGACTTCGCGGTAAGCGGGACCAGCGGGGTTGGGGGGTAAGGCGCGGAGACGGCTTTGGTCGTACATTTCGCGCTTTGTGGTTTTGAGGAGGGTGAAGGGGGAGGAGGGGGTGGGGGAGGTGTCGACGGCGATTTTCCATTCTGGTGGGGGTGGAGGGGGATGGGAGGATTGGGAGGAATCGCCGGATGGGAGGCTGTCTGTGGGGCCGAGATGGAGGGCGCCGCCTGTTAGGGGGGAGGGCGTGAATGGTTTTGTGGTGGTGTTGGTGTTGGGATTGGCGGGATGGTGGGGTCGGGATGGGTTTGGGGGGTCTAGAGATGGGGGGTAGAGGGTTGATAGGGGGACGGCTGGTATTGGGGTGAATTCGACGGTTAGATTGGCGGCTTTGTCGAATAGGAGGCGTAGCTGGGTTATTCTTAGTGATGTGTAGAGATGGTTTAATGCAGGTCGTACCTTCATTGCTTCATCTTTTCCGGTTTTCTTGATCTCGTCTTGCACTCGCTTCAAAAGTTCCCCATGCAATGCCTTTCCATCTTTTAGTCTTTTCTCGACTTCGAAAAAGTCAAAGTGCTGTGCGGCTTCCACCATGCGATCTCGGTGATAGGCAAGCATGTAAAAAGGTGACGGCGTGACGAAGTTCAAGATGGCTCTTGAGTTTTCCTCTGATTTGAGGAGTAATGGATCGTATCTCAGGGATGTGAAGAGCTGGAACTCATCTTCTGATGCCATGATGAGCCGCTTGTGATAATGATGACTCTTCGTGAACGTTGAGATGCTGGTGGTTACAGATATTGTTCGGCAGATGTCTTTAAACTTGACTATCAGTGCTTAGCTCAGGCTAATGTTGGATGCAGATATGCAACGAGGTTGTGCCGTATGTAAGACTTGCCTATGTAGATGTACGACGGATGTGCTGTCATTCATGGTGGGTCGGCGAGATGACTGTCGTCCAATCCGTTCCGAGCGGACCTCAACCCGGATTTAGTTCCGAAGTCGGCTAATTGGTCAGGACGCGCACTGCATAGAACTTCGTGAACTCTGAATCTGGATTTGTTAACGTGTAATACTCTATTGCGATTTCTTTTGCTGTTTACACTTTGTGCTATGTCTAGTCATCCTATCATTGGCGACAGTTGTAATACACTACATTTAAGGGAAGTACGCTGATCATGCCTCATCCAAACCACCATTCCAACATAACAACACCTTCACTCGAACTACACTCCGAACATCAACCTCCCATTGGCCCGGTGCAAATTCCGCCACAATCCACAGCATCAACTGCCACATACTCATATCGGCAAGATCACACCCAGTATTCCAAAACAATTACCTTTCTTAGTAAACACAAGGCAAACCCGTAGATGACTGTAGAAAAGCGGTGTTTACCTCCACCCAACCATGGTGCTGGAGGTAAGAACCACGGCTGGGGCCGAGCAAGCTCCTTTACCAATTAGAGAAAGCGAGCATGTGGATCGCAGGTCTGGTGCGGAGGTTTGTACCGAAGCTGTTACAATAACAGGTGGGTAAGAAGCGAGATGATGACATGATGACATGAGGCTGATCGGGGGCGCGTGGAAGGAGTCGTTATGTATGCTTCCGAGTGAAGGTTCATTTTCTTTTCATTCTAATTCACGACCGCTGATGATATTGCGGGTCTGTTCTGACGCTCGGTGAACAATGTATTACTACATACGCCAGGGCATCGCTGACGGTGGCAGCGTAGATGGCCCTACATCTTCAGCGATGATGTAGCTCAGCAGGTCTCTACGAGCTCATTCAGCCTGTGAAGCCACAATCACCCCGTGCGCGTCGCCACGCGTTTGAAGATCTGACGTGGACGCTCTTGCGCAGCAGCAGGTGGATTCGACGATAGACGCGTCTTTGTCGGTTTCGCTGAAGCGAAACCCCCAACTGCGCCCCTCTGAGCACTAATCAAAGCCTCTATGACAGCGCCAGCCTCTGCGCGTACATCTACATACTTTGCCGGAACCAGAGGCGGCTCAACATGGAACCTCAAGCTACCCGTCAAATCCAGTGTGTTGCCCGCGCGCAGCGTATTCAAAAGACCTGGCTGGCTCTTCCGGATCTCAGGATAGACAAACCTGCCATTCTCGTCGTATCCGCGGGCTTGGAGCTCTTCTTTGATAGCGTTGCGCAGACGCCGTCTAGCCCATGTTCTTACACAGCTGGACTTGTTCAGGTCGGCGGGGGTGGTCGCATGCCACCACAGTCCCTCCCTCTTCTTCTCTCTCTGTCTGCGGCGCTGCGTCTCGCAGAGGGGGTGCTGGGGATCGGACGCGACGTGGTTGAGGATGAAGTGCTTGTAGTCGGTGGCATAGCTGACTTTGAACGTGCGCGGTTGCTGTCTGGCGAGGAGCGAATAGACGGCATTCTTTGACATGGCTGTCCCATGCCTCTCGTGTGTATGCACGGTGACGTAGGGTGAAGGAGCAGCGAGTGGGGGTGAAAAGGCTCGAGGACCACGGATGGATTGATTTTCGGCCGGGTGAGCGACGGGGCGCTAGGCTGTAAAGGGCCTTAGCGCGCAGTGTCGAAGGCTCCCACAGTGAGTCGGAATCCACAGTGCAAACAACCGTCGAGCCGCCACTACATAAAGACTTGCGCCCGCCGGCGTTCCTGCTTTCAACACCAAACACAACCCCACCACACTAATACACACTTCGACTACCGCCCACCATGCCGAAGAACAAGGGAAAGGTATGTCCAGCGCTCTTTTGGAGGGGCTGCCCCGCCACTCTCCCAGCGCCTGACGCCCAAACCTCACAGCGCGGCAAACCTATTTGCATGCCTGGGAGACATGGCGCGCCCTCTTCACCCCACTATACATCACTCTGCATATACTAACGCACGCACAGGGAGGTAAAAACCGACGTAGGGGTAAGAACGAGAACGACAACGAAAAGCGCGAACTCGTCTTCAAAGAGGAAGGCCAAGAATACGCCCAAGTCGTCAAGATGCTCGGAAACGGTCGTCTGGAAGCTCAGTGCTTCGACGGCGCCCGCCGTCTCGCCCATATCCGCGGCAAGCTGAGGAAGAAGGTCTGGATCAACCAGGGCGACATTATCCTGCTGTCGCTGCGAGACTACCAGGACGAGAAGGGTGATGTTATTATGAAGTACTCTGGTACGTACTCACTCTATCCCTAACCGCTATTTGAGTATATAGTACTAACGTACGTACAGCCGACGAAGCCCGCTCATTAAAAGCCTACGGCGAACTTCCCGAAAACGCAAAGATCAACGAGACAGACACGTACGGCGACCAGGGCGACGAGGGCATCGGTTTCGAGTTCGACGAGGACCGCGACGACAGCGATTCGGACGAGGCCGACGGCACCGGCAAGAAGGAGATTGATATTGACGACATTTGAGGGCGAGGCGCGCAGATCCGCCATGCTGTCTCGGCTCCTGCTTTGCGGCTGCTGCTTTGCTGTGGCGGGGGCCGGGCTGCTCAAATGCTGCTTCTTGCGAGCGGGCGGATGGTTTGAGGGATAGTTGAGGAGACATGGTTCCGTATGGATGATCATGAGGTTATTCGGCATGTTTTTATGTTACATGCTTTTGGACTTTTCGTGAAAGCATGATGGGATAGAGAAATGATACACGCATAATCTTCGTCCAAACTACACTTTCCATGTACCCTTGCTCTACCATCTAACATCCCAACCCCTAACTAAAACCCTGCCACTGCACCTCCTCATACACACTGCGATTAAAAAACCTATGCACCCTCCTCCCCACATCCGTGCCCACCAACCAACAAATCTCTCTCTCGGACATATTCGCCACCTCGTACACACTCTCACTTTTAAGCATCAACGTCGAAACCACATTCTCATTCACCCCCGGCAGCGCCCTCAGCATATCCTGACTCGTCTGATTAAAGCTGCGCATCTCATCCCCACTCTGATTCGGATCAAGCCCCAACTGCACCGCCCTCATCGGATCAGGCTCATCCTGCTGTTTCTTGAGCTCTGCGAAGATTTCAGCCGTTTGGTACGGACTGCTACTCCAGATGATTCTCAGCCGCGGGAAAGCGAGGGTAAGCATGACGAGTTTGGATTGGAGGTCTGGTGTTGTGGCGGGGCCGTTTGCAGAGGAAGAACTGCTGCTGCCGGCTGAGTAGTCGGTGAAGGGTTCTAAGGTGAAAGACTTGTTTTGGTCGAATTCGATGAGCAGCATGGGGTGTTTGTAGTGTTCCATCATGGATTCGACTTGGTTGAA